AAAGATCTTTTGAAGTAGGAATAATTTATATAGTTCATTAAGAATAACAATTTTATAGTGATTATAATGACACTGTCCCTTTGATTTTACCAGTATAGCACCATGGTGTAAAACTTTACTTCCTAATTTTTTTTCATAGTAAGGAAATAGTATATGTAAAATTCCTTAGTGACAAATAATTGAGGCACAGTCCTTACCTAGGAGTCAAGAGGATTGATACCATAGCACATAGGTAACACATTCATGGTACGTGCAGCACAGTACACTGGTGAAGGGAGATAGTAATGTACTGCCGTCTGTCTTCATATACTGTGGTAAATTCCTAAGCCTTGTATGATGGATTGATTTAAGAGTTTTTTTGCCCTAGGGCATGTGTGCTTGCCAGAGAGAGAGAGAGGGTGAAACAGACAGTAAGAGGGAAAGTGAGAAATCACTCCTTGGGGGGGCATGGCCACACTGCAATTCTCTCTCATCTATTCTCCTCCTGGTATCTTGGGCGTGTGAACATATATTCCCTGTGTGAGTCTCAAGCCACCTGGTTCGGGACTCAAACCACAGTCAGACATGTGGGAGTACAGTGATATAACTGCTATATAATCTGCTGGACCCATATAGTGGTATTTTTAAATGAATTCATTGTGGTTTTCTGTGGAATAGGTATCACTTACTAGAAACAAAGGATTTTTTTTTTTTTTTTTTTGGTTTGTACTTCCTTCGCGTTATTTACTATCTACTCATTATACTTTAACTCTTTTCTGGAGGCTATGTAGATTGCTAGACAGAGATGGGATAGAGCTAACTGTAGACTTAATGTGGCTACTTTTTCAAAGTTGGGAAAGGCAGCATGTGGTACATCGACTTTCATATTTCTAGTGATGATACTTTAAGATAAAGGTAGGTTATACACAGCTGTTAAAGATCTAGTTGATTTTACCTTTCAAATATATACATTATTAATTTTTTAGGTTTGTATATAAATGGCAGAGTTCTCAGGCATAGACACTAAGTATTGCATATGTTATGAAATGTTTGTTTGCACTAATCATCCTAAGCAAAGGAGGGATTTATGAAGACTATATAACAGTATGACTAAAGAATGAAGTAGAAACAGTATTTCTTATAAGTATCCTTTTTTATTATAAATACATGCAAATCAGTTCTTTTTTATTTTTGGATTTGTGTGTGTGTTTATTTACATATATATTTTTTAAATTATTGAGTTAAAACATATGTTTGTTTTGAAATTGAAATAATGAAAACTTGTAGATGGAAAAACCTAAGTGTACCATGTTAATTTATTTATGTTTATAATTCAGGAGCTGCAAAGGAGGTGTAATACTTTAATTACCTTGATTGAAAGGGAAAACATGGAATTAGAAGAAAAGGAGAAGGCAGAGAAAAAGAAGCGAGGACCAAAGCCTTCGGTAAATGTTTGCGAATATGCTAAGATTGTGTTCTGTTTAAGTATTTGAGCACTCCTTGTCTTCCATTGATCTTGGTCTGTTGTGTGTGTGGATAACAGCTGAGTCACTTTTAAAGTTACACTTGATTACATTTTGTGGGAAAGATCATGTTATAACAGTTTCATGAAAACCTGGGAGGACATGTCTTGTGAATGCCAAGAACATACTCTTTTCATTGGGAATATCAGTGATAAATTTATAATGTGGAATATTGAAAGCATCTGTTTTCCAATCTTTATTCTTAGCTTCTACGCTTTCATATGTTGTTCCATCAATGTGAAGAAAGTCATCTTGGTATTTAATAATTTATAAGCTATTAAGTCCTGTGTAAATGAGTATATTTTGATAATACCTGTTTTTTTAGGTAACTTACTTTTAAAATGTCACAAAATACTACTATATTTTGGAAAGAGAGTATGTTACATATTTGTTGGTATATTGATTTACTTCTGTTAATTGTGAATTAATTTTTATTTTCAAAGAATGTACTAGAGGATGAATGTACTTGATGGAGAGAAAGAGAGGGAAAGTCAGAAAGCATTCACCTAAGGGGATGGTCATGCCCCAGTCTCTTCTTCATTTCTCCTTTTGGGATTTTGGGTGTGCATGCACCAGTGCTCCAGTGTGTTTTTCAAGCTGCCAGGTCTGGAACTTGTGAAATCAGCCCTGTGGGATCCAGCTGTCTTAACCATTGTACCACTGGTTGGCCCAATTCTGAATTCTTTTTTTTGGGAGAGGTTTTTGCTATAGGGTGCGTGCGCTCGCCAGACAGACAGAGACAGAGAGATAGAAAGTGAGAGATCGCCCCCAAGGGGGATGGCCACGCCACAATCCCATCTCCTCCATTCTCCTCTCGGGATCTTGGGCACACATGCACAAGCACCTGGCATGCCCAATTCTGAATTCTTAAAATTCTATTAGCATTAAAACATTTTTACTGTAAGGGGCCAGCAGGTGGCATAGTGGTTAAGGCACTGGGTCCCACATGGTTGACTGTACCATATGAATCCTGAACCTGGCAGCTTTAACATGCTGCCAAGTAGGTGTGCATGCACGCCCAAAGTCTCAAAAAGAGAAGGAATTGCAGCATGACCTTCCTCCCGGAGACATTTTCTCACTTACCCTCTCTCTTTGTTGCTCACTCATGCTCCACGAGCACAAGTACCCTATGGCAAAAATTAAAAATATATATACACACACACACATATATATACACATATATAGTGTGTGTATATAATATATTATATACACATATATACATATATAGTGTGTGTATATATACACATATATATACATATACAGTAGATAAGGTTATTTGGAGACTTTATAGTTGTTTTGAAAGATAATAGAGTCGACATTGCTGCTACTTAGCAGTTATTACTGAATTTTACATATATCTGAATATATTTCATTTTTACATCAATCTTGTTTTGAAAAGTAATCTTTTTGTTTGTTTATAGACACAGAAACGTAAAATGGATGGAGCACCTGATGGTCGGGGAAGGAAAAAGAAGCTGGTACCTCGAAGTCCTGACCTACCTAATGCAGCACAGGCACAGAAAGAACAGCTTAAAATCGATGAAGCTGAGCCTCTTAATGATGAAGGGTTAGAGGAAAAAGAAAAGCTTCTAACACAGGGATTTACCAATTGGAATAAAAGAGATTTTAACCAGTTCATCGAAGCTAATGAGAAGTGGGGTCGTGATGATATTGAAAATATAGCAAGAGAAGTAGAAGGAAAAACTCCAGAGGAAGTCATTGAATACTCTGCTGTGTTCTGGGAAAGATGCAATGAGCTCCAGGACATAGAGAAGATCATGGCTCAGATTGAAAGAGGAGAGGCAAGAATTCAAAGAAGAGTAAGTATCAAAAAAGCACTTGACACAAAGATTGGACGGTATAAAGCACCTTTTCATCAGCTGAAAATATCTTATGGTACTAACAAAGGAAAAAACTATACTGAAGAAGATCGTTTTCTGATTTGTATGCTTCACAAACTTGGATTTGACAAGGAAAATGTTTATGATGAATTGCAACAATGTATTCGCAACTCTCCTCAATTCAGATTTGACTGGTTTCTTAAGTCCAAAACTGCAATGGAGCTCCATAGGAGGTTTAATACTTTAATTACCTTGATTGAAAGGGAAAACATGGAATTAGAAGAAAAGGAGAAGGTAGAGAAAAAGAAGCGAGGACCAAAGCCTTCGACACAGAAACATAAAATGGATGGAGCACCTGATGGTTGGGGAAGGAAAAAAGAAGCTAAAACTATGAATACATATTTGTTTCATAATCACTAACTTTAAACCAGTAGTTCTTTAATTTACGGGTCTTCATAAGATGTACTGTACAATGCTCAATTGTCATTCAAAGACATCAGGTTCATCTGTTTACTGAGCTAGAAACATAGTATGTAGTTTCACTTTTTTAAATGCAACAGCTGTGCTGAAATTTTTTTTATCATTAACACTTGAAGTAATAAAATAGGCTTCGTTTATTAATAAATGTTTCGTTTGATTTATTTTTCTATATAGTTTCATTTGTGAAGATTGTGAGTTTGTTTACCAGCTATAATTTTTACAATTGTTAAGGCTTAAAAACAAGCACATTCGTTACAAAGAAGAAAAAAATTGCTAATAACATTTGTCCCTCGGTCTTCACTTAGTTGTGTAATTGTTTTAATTCGCATTGCCTTTGCAGAAAATTTGGGTATTTTCTTTGTAGTGCTATTGAGTCTCATCTGGAAAGATTATGTAAATTGCATTCTCCTTGCTTATTGTAGAATGGGCAAAAAAAGGCAAGACAAATTATAATGAAATTCTATGCATATTTCTGTTATGCTTTCTGTTTCTGTAGATGGTTATAAAGTGAATATTCCCTATTCTGTTGGAAGAATGGCCTTTTAGTTGTGTAGCCAAAGACATTTAGTATTTTCTGGCTCTTTAAGGTATTGTACCATTTTGTAAAAGGAGTATTATTTTTTTTAATTATTTGGTAAATACTTTGACGAATGACCTTCTGAAGGAGCCACAACTTAAAAAGATAATGTCATAACTAAGGTGATTTTTTTTTTAAGACCCAGCCAAAACAAGGTGTGAATTTGTCATAGTGTTAAATTGAAATCGGTGACAATATATATCCCCTCCCAGTTTATAGTATTTTTGAGTTTTAGAGGAAATGAAAATTTTATTTTATTATATTTTAAAATAATTTCTAAATGTTAACAAGCAGCAAGACTGACTAGAATTCCAGTTTTTGTTTTCTATGGACAGACTTGATAAACTGGAGACCCTAAAGCAGAAATACCCAAATTGTAGTGTCAGGATTTTAGCTGTACCAGAGGCCTTTATGTGCTACACATTATTTGTATAAAGTTTTATATGTGCAAATTGGGTACATAAACAGTTCTCCATTTTTCTAAGGGAATGCAATAAATGTAGCCTCGTGAATAAATATAACTTTTATAATCCTTAAAGTGGTCTTTTCTTTCCGTTTCTTTAATTTTTTTCTGACTTGGTTTTTAGTCTATTCCTTAGAATATTATCTTCTTTACTTAGCTCTCTTCCTCTCAGATTTCTATTAGTTGTTTTTGTCTGCCCAAATATAACTGAAAACTTTTTTTTACTTCTAATTTCTATATTATTACTTACTTTTATTGCTTAATTTTCCAAAATGTCCAGTTGCTGCTGGTAATGTCCAGCAAGACTTCAGTGTTCATGGCAAGTTGTACAGTAATTTATTTTGTGTTCTCTCCTAATTGTCTTTTTTTATTTTCCTTTCTTTTAAGAGAGTTTTGCTATAGGGCACATGTGCTGGTTGGAGAGAAAGAGAAAGTGAGAAATTCTCCCCCCATGGGGCATGGTATGCTGCAATTCGTCTTGTCCTTTCTCCTCTCAGGATTTTGGACTTGCACATACATCCACCTGGCATGAGTTTTAAGCTGTCAGGCCCAGGACTCCCACCATAGTTGACTACGTGGGAGTCCAGCCACATAATCATACTGCCATCTGCTGCTCACCAGATTGACTGTAGTGTTCTAGTCTTAAATAACAGTTAAAGGTCCATTGTGTGGAAATCTGAGGAATAATTATTTTTTCATGAAATGAAAGGTAATACTTAAGGTTGTGTCCTTATTTTGGAAGAAAAATTTAGAAGACTAAGGTAGAGTAAACAAAAAATTATATTTTCAAGAGGCAGAAAATTTGGGAGGAGGTACATAGTGGAAATTCAAAATGAATCAGGTATAATGTCAGCCCTAGAGAGCTTGGGGACAAATAGAAATGTAATGGGAAACTCACTTGAAAAAATATGAAAGATACCCAATTTTCACATTGCAATTTAACTAGTGTGCAGAAGGTACTCGTACTCATTGTCACGATTGCATGTTTATCTAGAATAAAGTCAGGCTTTTATTTATACTGTTAAGGGAAGGAAAAACAATAATGAGGTTCATATGTCCATCTGTTCAAAGAATTGATTGTGAAGGTTGATTTAAAATTGGAAGCGAGGGGCCAGCAGATGCCATGGCAGTTAAAGGCACTGGACTCCCATATGGCTGACCATGGTTTGAATCCTGGCCCAGGGGGCTTGCTTTCTCACTCTCCCTTTCTCTCTGGTCAATTTAGAAACAAAATAATAATGATAATAATAAATGAAATAAAGTAATTTAAATAAATAAATAAAATTGGAAACGAAGTGAAGCCCTAAACTAAAAGAATGCCTGAAAGAGATAAGTTGCTAACATAAGTGACCAGGGTCATGGCAATTTGTTACCGAAAATATGTCATATACTGAGATAGGTTCTCTTTCTATTAGATAAGATTAGATTATATTTTGCAAGTAAGTAAAATATAATCAATACTTCAATATTTTAAAAATTAATGTTGAAACCTGACAGGGAAAGAATATATGAAATACAGAAATATAGAAAACTTCCTGGTAGCAAAAATAAATTTTTTGTTTGGTTAGGGCATTTCAGATACATTCAGTAGACTAAAGCATGCTTAATTTTATAGCTGTGCTTACATTTGCTTATTGTAAAGTATTATCAATAGGAAGTCTAAACCAAACAGCCCTAATTTTGTTGTGTCTATATTCCTCTTAATATTGATCTTATACTAAAGTATCTAGTTAAGTGTGATACAGATAGAGGTAGCAAAAAGTAATGAACTGGTCAATAGAAGAAGGATTTGACTCCAATTAAACTGCCCATTTATTGGTATGTTTCAAGTAAATTTCCTTTTTTTAAAATGCATTCCTACTTTATAGTATTTGATTCTTTGTTCACATAGTGTTAATACTGTAAAGTTTTTTTTTTCTTTTAAAGATATACATACATGCCTTTAGAACAGTAGTTTGGTTCAAATACAATATTTTAAAGAACATTTATAACTCCCATTTCTTTTTTTTTTCTTTAAGAAATATTTATTTTTATTTATTCATTTTTTTTCCCTAATTTGAACACGAGAGAGAGAGAGAGAGAGAGAGCAAGCGAGCGAGCCAGCCATCAGGTCCTAGACTCCGAAGTGGCATCAGTCATGTGGGAGTGTCCAGTGCCTCAGCCACCTTGCCACCTGCTGGTCCCTCTAACTCCCATTTCTGAGAAGACAACTCCTGGACACTTTCCTGTTTGGTATTTTTGTGGGGAAATTATTCAATGGGTGGACTCAGCTTGTAGAAGTTGAAAAATAGAACAAGGTTGAATCAAATGCATGTACTGTACTTGGTTGTCTTCAGGCATAGAACACTGTTGTTTACTGTGACCATTTTAATTGAAGGAGCAGCTTCTTGTAAAAATAATGTGCTGTTTCTATTTCGGTGGGTTTGGACCGAAACGACTTGTGCCGACTCCACACTCAAAACCGTGCAGTTACAATCACAGTGTAAGATTAGGCCCTAGTCAGTGATCACTGCTGGAACTTGACAGTAGATCAACTGGGCAGATTCCATACTTCTTCCTGTGTATATGCTTCTCTTTCCTGTAATCACTCCTTTTCCATTTATGGCTCAGGCATCACCCAGCATTGCAAGCTTCACTTGAGAAGTGTCACCCTGGGAACCATACATTTTGAAATTGGAAATCGCTGTGTCTCTAGTGGTCTGCAGTGATACACTCTTAACACCACCTGGGAGCTTGTTTCAGATGAAGACTGACGTGTCATGCCAAATCTGCTGAATTAAAATTAGTCTTTTAGTCCTCAAAGGTGATCATATGCATGATAAAATTTTACAAGTACTGCTTCAAAATACTTTGCCAAAGCTAAATAAAATGAAACCATAATAGTTGTTTAACATAATGTCAGATTAACATGACATCATCCAAGTAATAAGGATTTTTAAATTTTTTAAGCTTCGTGGGGAAAGTGAGATTCAATAGTATTTCAGAAAAAGGAATACTTTGATCTTTAACTTTTGGCTATGTAGATCATTTTATCAGGGGAAAGTTTCTCTGAGTTTCTGTATACTAGCTTTTAAGTCACAATATATGAGAGCATCATTTCTTTGGTCCTAGGACCAGCAGCACTTGGCAGCACCTGGGAGTTCATTAGACACTAATGATCAGATAGCACTACTAGTTTGGGATCTCCAGATGGAGCCCAGTGTTTTGTCAAGATTTCCAAGTAATTCTTCAGTCTTACTGAAGTTTGAGAGGCACAGGGTTAGAGCATCAGTATACCTGTTACTGTTTTCCTCCCCCGCTCCCCCCCCCCTTTTTTTTTAAAAGAATTACTTATTTAATTTTTGTTTATTTATTCACTTAATTTGACCAGAGAGAGACAGGAAAAGCGAAAAACCAAGCCACCAGGACGAGGACTTGAATCGTGGTTGGCCTTGTGGGAGTGTCCAGTGCCTTAACCACCACGCCTGCTGGCCTCATTGTTTTCCTTCCTTTTAAGTGGACTAATGTTATGGAACTTTTGATCATGTTTTTTTTTTTTCCCCCTACCCTCAAATTTGGAAATCTAGTTAACTTACTGGACTATAAGGAAGTATGCTGATCAAGTATGTGAGATTGAAAACCAACAGCTGAGCGAAGAGCCATAAGCCAGTCTTTCGCTAAAGGTATGATTATGTACAAATGGTGGTTCAAGTATTCAATGTGCTGACAGGATAATTTTGGATGGTTGTATCATCTCACTGAAAGGACACTTTAATACCATCAAAACATGTCAGTAATTCTCAGCACAATTATTCTGCTGTATCATCTTTAAGACTTACTGATCTGGTTTTAAGTCGGGCGTTTATGTTCCTATGTTGATGTACAGGATTGTTACCTGCTTCTAGGCATGGTCTGGATCCACCTGGCGGAGAAGACACCAGAAATGTTAGTAGGTAACTTTAGATATGGCGTCGTCATTACTGTATAATGGCATTACTATCTGGTTGCTGTCAGTGTTACTTAACAGATTTTTTTTTTCTCTAAGTTTTATAAACTGAGTAGAAGGAAAGTCAGGACTCAGTAGTTAGGACTGAATGGACAGAGCAGAAGGAAAGTCAGTAATATTACTGTGCAACTCAGGTGTGGTGTAACCCCCAAAATGGGCATGGCATCTTGAGGATCTGTATGTATTATTTCTGGTCCCATTTGCTCATGAACTTCGCCTCCTGGGGACAGGTCTGGACTGAGCACATATATTTTTAGAATGCATTGAGGTGCTCCATTAGACATTAGTCCCTGTTTTTATCAGGACCTATAATCATGAGATAAAATTAGGAACTAAAGATTGACTCACTGGCATTGGTGTACAAGATTTTGCCAACAAAGGAGTGTGGACTGATGTTACTCCAGGCTCCTCTTTCCAAACTGTCTTCATTCTCTTTTGATTAGACAGTGTTAAGTCACATAGATAGACCATTCTCTTCCAATCACTCTCTTTTTTTTTTTTTTTTTGCTGTAGAGTGCGTGCGCTCACCAGAAAGAGAGACAGAAAGTAAAAACTACCCCCCCGGGGGGGATGGCCATGCCGCAATCCCTTCTCCTCCTCCATTCTCCTCTTGGGA